ATGCACAAAAACCCCATAAACCAATCTTTACATACGACAACGTGCCTGAGTACACGAGGACATAAGCCAAACGATACCGCAATGACGGTTCTCCACTGTATCTTAACATAATATAATCTCTAGTTCAAAAATGTAGTTTCGTAAGGTGCCGAAGACCGCTTTTCACAGATAGGCAACGGATGAAACGCAGACTACAAACGGGAAGGACGCATAGACATCTGTTCAAACTCACGAAGATTGCGTGCTAACTGAATGTCCTGTAAAATTTTAGATGTTTTCAGACAGTGAATGTGTTAACCTCATTAGAGATTAAATCCTCCTCACCCGGATTTAAACCCCCCAGCCATGAAAATCTGCGCTAAAGTTTGATTACTATCTGACATTCGAACCACGGATTAAGAACACATCATAGCAGATAGGTGAACATGCATGATGACAAATGACGACTACTGAGAGACGGCAAGACTAAACTTAGTTTTACAGGAATGAATGACAAAAATGGTGTCAATGTGAACGGCATTCTTCAAGGGAAGATACTTTTCAATAAGTATTTAGTCCTGTGGCAGACCCAAGGTAATTCGACGAATTAGAAGCAAAGTTAGTTAACAAGCGCATTTACGTACCAGTAATTCACGTGATGAGAAACACCGCAGTTTTTCCATAGGAAACACCGAGTTAAAGCCAAGACGAAACGCGTTCATTTGACGACGAATACCGACGTTCAAGTAGTACTCCTCGCATAGGGTCAAGTAACGCTCGAGGTTATCGACGGTAACTAATGCATCTGAGTCGCTGGACGTCAGCTGGACGAAAAGGTAATGGTAGTAGCAGCTTGAAGCGCTAAACTCAAAACTGAGGCCTAAATCGTCGATGCAGCACTTTTCGTATGGACTGTCTAAACTGAGCAATGACAATAGCTCACGCTTCTTGTCTTCAGGTATCGTTTGGTCATCTATGATGTGTCGTCGCTGATCGCAAAAGTAATGCAACGCCTTAAAAAATTTTCCCTGAAATGGATTGATCACTTCCAAATCTTCAAGTGACAGACACGCATGACACCAAGAAATAGGAGGGTCGCCGGTCTTCATTAATGCTGCTTCGACTGACCACTGGTCATCGACATTCGAAGACGTCGATTGCTTATCTTTACTGTCAAGGTCTTCGCAGATACTGGGATGATGTGGACAACACATCAGCTTAATAAATGGCAACGACAACGGCAGGTCAATGAGGTGCTTGTCCTGCAGTACTTTCGCCAAGACGATGCCGAGGAAA